ACCCAGCAGGTGTTTTCAGTTGATGCATTGCATTAGGGATGATCCATGATGCAATTCTGTCATAAAGCATGTAAAATGAAGTAAATTTAAGTCCCAGAGATCTGACTATTCCTGGAACAGGGAAATATGGAGGTATGGAATAAGAACAATTCTGCAGATTCTGTAGTGAAACTCACCCATATGCAGAGGGCCAGCACAAGGCTTATGCACCACTTAAGTCCCCCTTAAGCTTTATTTTGAGGATTTTGAGTGGGACTTAAGTGGTAAATGGCTTTTATGATGACCCTGTTGTGCAGGAATGAACATATGCAGTATGACAATCAGAAGAAATAATTTACACCGAAACCGTGACACACCAGCCTCAGTTTTTCTGGGTTTTCTTAACTGTGGCAATTGTTAAATAGCATTGTCGGGGGAGGGGGAGGGGACAGTCTTTTCATTCCTCTGCTGCAGTAAAGAGTCAGCCATTTCGGGTATTCCTCTGACTCTGTACACACTCTAGGTATTAAGTTTAGCAGTTCCAATTGGCTAGCCCACTGACACATCTGTCTTTTAAATCTTTTCTTACTTTTGAAGATCCCTTCTGAAGGGGAGGAGCCTGAACAGTCCTGAAGTCTCATATCACTGCAGAAGTGTTTAAAAATGCAATTATTGCCTAACCTAGGATACACTGACTGTATATGTTAGTAATTTCTCCAGCTAAAAGCAGCAGCATGGAGTTGGCTGTGGTTTTTTGTTTTTAAATCTTCCCAGATTGAGGTCACATGTCAGACCTTCAGATTCCTTAAATGGGGCAGCAGACTTTGATGAAACAACTGCTCCAGTGATGTGATTTACAGAGTTCCTATCATCCAGAAGGATTCCAAAGCATTATACTGATTTACAAAAACAACAAGGAGTCCTTGTGGCACCTTAGGCCTTGGCTACACTTGCTAGTTACAGCGCAATGAAGCAGCCCCAGGCGCCCTAGCTCACTCCCCGTCCACACTGGCAAGGTATGCAGAGCGCTCTGACTCCGCAGCTACAGCGCTGCTGGTACTCCACCTCAGCGAGTGGAATAACGTTTGCTGCACCCCCGCTAGAGCGCTGTGGCGCCAGTGTGAATGAGGTGTTGCGTTACTATGCTGTGATCAGCCTCTGGAAACGTCCCATAATCCCCTTAAGTCAAGTGGCCACTCTTATCATTGTTGTGAAATCGGCTGCAGGAGTGCGGAAATGCCCTTTCAAAGCTCCATTTCAGAGAAGCCGGCTGCTTATCCGCTCCGAGAAAAAGCAAACATTTACTGTTTGCTTTGAGTGAGTGAGAGAGAGGCGGGGGGGAGGGGGTCTGAACTTACAAGACAGCATGCTGACACACTTTCAGCACCCCAAAAACCCACTCTCTCTCTCCCCCCACATACACACTCCCTGTCATACTCCACCCCCCCCATTTGAAAAGCACGTTGCAGTCACTTGCATGCTGTGATAGCTACCACAATGCACTGCTCCCAATGCCGCTGCAAGTGCCGCAAATGTGGCCACGCCAGTGCGCTTGAAACTGTCAGCATGGACAGATTGCAGCGCTTTCCCTACTGCGCTCTATGAGGGCTGGTTTAACTCACAGCGCTCTACATCTTCAAGTGTAGCCATGCCCTTAGAGACTAACAAATTTATTTGGGCATAAGCTTTTGTGGGCTATAACCCACTTCATCAGATGCATGGAGTGGAAAATACAGTAGGCAGGTATAAATATACAGCACATGAAGAGATGGGAGTTGCCTTACCAAGTGGGGGATCAGTGCTAATGAGGCCAATTAAATTAGGGTGGATATGGCCCATTTCCAACAGTTGACAAAAAGGGGTGACAAGTATCAGGGGGTAGCCGTGTTAGTCTGTATCTACAAAAACAACAAGGAGTCTGGTGGCACCTTAAAGACTAACAGATTTATTTGGGCATAAGCTTTCGTGAGTAAAAACCTCACTTCTTTGGATGCAAAAAGGGGTGAGTATCAATAGAGGGGAAATTACTTTTTGTAATGCTAACGAGGCCAATTCAATCAGGGTGGGTGTGGCCCATTCCCAACAGTTGACAAGGTGTGAGTATCAACAGAGGGAAAATTATACAAACTTCCATTTAGACATTGCCTCACCCTTCATTGAAATGCAGTGAATCTTTTGGTGTGAAACACAGCAGCCTGAAGCAATGTTGCACAACAGTTAGCAGAGAAGTTTAAGAAGACTATTATACATAATGAGAACAATGAGTGGAATTCAGATGTGGGCAGAATGTAATTGCACAAACTGGAGTGTAACACTGTGATTCGGGGTTTCACACTCCTTTTGCACTGGTGTAAATGATTACACAAGAGGCACGGCAATGGAGAATCAGGCCTGAGATCTTAAAAGACCACAAGTGGTCAAGACTTTAGTCTTACAGTACCTCTCATCTGAAACACAGATCAGTTTTGGTCTTATCAGGACTTACCTACTGACCCTACATATATTGTAACATAGAAATGATGCAGATTAACGCACTTTCTCTATAGATCCTCAAATTACAGGGGGAGATTTTCAAAAGTGCATTAGGTACCCAACTCCCATTGAAACTAAGTGGGAATAGAGCTCACGTTGGTGACCTCACATTGGTGCCTTTGAAAATCTTGCCCATTTCAGAGAGTTTGTATAGGATTTTGTTGTTGTAAAGAACAGTGACTCCATGTATGATATTTAGGGAATGATTTACAGCTGTAAACCCAGTTTCCATAGCCAAAGTACTGCTCCCAACATATACCTGGTAACTGTGTACAATTTGGAAAAATAAAACACCAGCCTTATGTCCACACTCTTGTTAAGTTGCTTATTTGGGAATTTCTTGTTTATTAAGGCCCTACAGCAATATGTTGAAGAAAAGAGACATAGCAGACAAACTCCCGGCTTTAGGGGGAAGGCTGATCATATCCTGATCTGTGCTATATTGCTGCAAACATGGAGGCGTATCAGGATTTTTTTGCCAAATAAACAGAAGGATGATAATCCCTTAGTCAGATGACAGAATATTTGCTTTAGTTGCAATTCAATATATTTGTACATCTTTTTATTTAGTGTATGTTTATTTTAAATCAAGTACTTCATACCATTCCATAAGCACTGGACAGGTCACAGGTAGGCCAGTATCTATCAAAACAGAGATCATGGTAATGGAAAGATACACAGCCCCACACCCTCGCTCACTGGACTGGGCAGAAAACCTCTAGTGTAACAAGAAAGGGAAAAAGTGATCCTTGAAGTGTGGTTCTACTCTGAAATCTGACTAGATTATACCTCTATGATTTCATAGGTATTCTCATTATTCTCTCTGTACCCCAAAAGGGCAGAGACATGATGAAGTCCACTAGGGACTTCACTATTATCAATTTTATGCAAAAGGTGGTCAGATACTACAGTAATCGGTGGCAGTATAAAGCCATAAGAGAAGTTTTATAGTTTGACCAATTTGCAAGTCAAAAAACAATTTTAACTGCTAATCCAGCAAACTCATGTGGAGTTCTGAAAATCAAGCCATGTTCTCTTTTGCCTCTTACATCATCACAAGTAACAAAGATTTTGCAGCTAGGACTTACAGTAGTTGGCTATTTTGTTCCTGATGCACAAGGGAGAATCAAATCTTCACTCTGCTGATAGCTGTAACATTGCATTTTTCTCAGGCAAGTAAATACATGTTATTCAAAGACACAGGGAGCAGAACTGTAGAGTGGGAAAGGGTGCTAATTTTATTAGCACTTTTCTGTCCATAAGGGCAGTTTAAAGGATTGTTCATTTTTTTCACTTATTTTTAAGGTGGATTTTGGACAATTAAAATGCTGTTTTAGTGCATCTACTTTTTGAGGTCTTAGGAAAGGCAGGATGTAAATGCAAAGTATAGTTTATGCTGAGCCCACTTGTCTCTGAGATCTGCATGAAGAGGAACCCCTCCATGCAAAAGGACAGGCAGTGGTCAGCCACTTCCCCTGTACTGATCCCTCTGCTCCAGATATCATGGATGGCTCTTTGTGGGACTGGGAATAGGGAATCGGCAGGCGGTGTCAGAGGGAGAGCTGGGGGGCAGGATGGTGCACATTGTCTCCCTCCTCCCCTCAAGCTCTTTGTAGAATCAGCAGGAAATCTAACCGAGCCTAATACTGCTTTAACTTTCCTATAGGTCCCACTCCACACCTTACCCTCATCCCCCACCTGTTCATATAAAGTTCTAGGGGCAGCCGCCAGTGGAGGAAGTCCTGGCAATGTAGCTCCACTGGAGCAATGCTAGCCAGATTGTGTGTAGGGGGTTGCAGAGCCACTGTGGAGGCATGGGACCTCCTGTGGATTCCCCAGGAGACATGGGATGCTGAGAAGACCCTTTGTTCATTCTTCAGCAGAGCAACTCATCCTGTCCTCAAATTTTTGGGAGGGCACTCTCTCTGACAGGTTTTTCTATGGGAGGTGACAATCAGGTCCATTATTATTTATCTGCCTACATGCCCCAATGCAGAAGACCCTCCTACCACTATAACATCTGGAAGTATCAGTCATTCTCGGTCATGTTAGATTCATCAACTGATGCAAATACAGCAAATGGGCTGTTAATCAGGGTGCTATTATCATTAATAGGAATGATAGCAGTAGTCCATGATTCAGTAGCTCAGGGGTAGGCAACCTGTGGCACGTGTGCCGAAGGCGGCACGTGAGCTGATTTTCAGTGGCACTCACACTGCCCTGGTCCTGGCTATCGGTCCGGGGGGCTCTGCATTTTAATTTAATTTTAAATGAAGCTTCTTAAACATTTTAAAAACCTTATTTACTTTACATACAACCATAGTTTAGTTATATATTATAGACTTATAGAAAGAGACCTTCTAAAAACATTAAAATGTATTACTGGCATGTGGAACCTTAAATTAGAGTGAATAAATGAAGACTCGGCACACCACTTCTGAAAGGTTGCCGACCTCTGCAGTAGCTGATCATTGTGTTTGTGTTTCTAGGTCTTTGACAGAGTCCGGGAAGATTGCCCTAACTTCCAGGAGAAGATTAAGCCAATTAATGCAGAACTCACTCAGCCAAATCTGGCCATCAGCGCCAAGGACTCGCAGGAGCTCCTGTCCCAGGTCAATGTTGTCTTCCACTGTGCAGCAACAGTTCGCTTTGATGAGCCACTAAAGTATGTCCCTTGTTCTCTGCTGTTTGCATTTATTAAGTAGAACTTAGCTTCTTACTGGGACCCACAAAATATGAGAGACCATTATTGTTTTTTCTTGTACAATTACAGTAATAATTCTCCAGTTATGTTTTCAAACTGCACATAAATTCTGGATTGGATATACAATTTAAAGGGCTCAAATTATTGAGTGCCTAAAATATCACATGTCAGACCTTAAAAAATACATACACACACACATCAAGATTGAGGTACTGTGGCATTGCTACATGAAGCCCAGGACAGGAATAAAAAGGAGTCCTGCAAATTAGGATTGCAGTGCACTGGCAGAGTTAGGTGAGGCCCCAGAACTGGGACAGCAGAAAGGTGCTATATGTGCCTGGACTCAGATGTTTTGGCAGGGCTACATGGAAGGAGTGCGAAGTGAGTCTACGCAATCTCTGACTCTACAGCTAATGTTATTGGTCCTACTTTTTCACTGAAGGTAACTCAAGGAGGGAAATGATAAATTTTTGAAGCAGCATATTTTAAATAGCAAATCACAAGGCACTGTAACGTTTTAAAATATTCACCCAGCTTTGAAAATGTTGCCTTCATTGTAATGAGGCATTTTAAAAAGATGGCCTGTTACTTAAGGGATTTCCTTGAGAAGCACTTGGTTTGTTCATTGTCACATATTAATGAAAGAGTTCCTAGTACAATGGGGTCTGAATTGTGATTGGTGCCTTTGAGCCCCACTTTAATAATGATAGTGATGTGATTGTGGTCATAGATACAGGCCCCAAAAGAAGTTCATTAATGACAATTACAATATCCCTCTCTGAGACATTACATTGATTGTGTCTCCATTGCTCAACATGAGGTTTCCCCCCCCCTTATTATTACTGTAATTATATTTAGTTAATCACCACAGGGACCGGGGGGAATTTCTCCCAGAGCATTGTATAATTGTGGGATGTATTTTTTGCCTTCCTCTGAAACATGAGGGGTGAGTTGCTGCTATGGGCAAGATAGTGGATTCCATGGACTGTTGATTCAACATGGCACGATAGATTGAATGTTCTTGTGTTCCAAAAACGAAGCCCTTAAAATGAGATTATAGATAGAACTTGGTGAATTTTTTCAGCCAAAACTTCTTTTTATAAAAAAAACAAAATGGGTATCCGGCAACACTGAAATGTTTTGCAAGTTCATGTTGGTTTCATCAAATTGTTCACATCAAGGGGGGAGAATATTGAAATATTTTGTTTTTACATTTTTGAAATTAAACATTTTGATTTTTCAATTTGAAATTACTTTTTGATTCAGAATTCCTTTTACTTATATTTTAAAAAGTTTTAAAAGGCTTTAAATAAAAATTAAACATTGCATTTTGAGTCTAACAAATCACTTTGTTTGACCTGAAACAAATTTTTTTTCAATTTTTTTATTTGCAGAATACTTTTAAAAAAATCATTTTAATTTCTCCAAAACCGTTGTTGTTTTTTTTTTTTTTTTTTTTTTTTTGGTTCAGAATTGAGAGTGAGCTGAAAAACCTATTATTCACTCTGCTCCAATTATAGACTAGATCAGGTATCGGCAACCTTTGGCACGTGGCTTGCCAAGGTAAGCACCCTGACGGGACAGGCCAGTTTGTTTACCGGCCGCGTCCGCAGGTTCGGCTGATCATGACTCCCACTGGCTGCGGTTCGCCGCTCCAGGCCAGCAAGCAAGCTCAGGCAAAGGGAGCCCACATATCAGTCAGAGCCCATGTAGAAAACCACCAGAACACCTTGCACATATCCTGAGTGTTTCAGGGAGGACCTTCACATTGGTACCCTTTTTCCCTACTCCTTTACCAACTCTTTCCCCCCCCCCCCCCCCAACCCCTTGAAATCACTAATTTTATTACTTGTAACTTGGCTTCTTCTAGTGTTGTTCTATTGCTTTGGACAAGGCCCCATATACCTATCTGGAATCCCTTGTATGTTGGTATAGCATGTGTCCTTCAAGACCAGATATGAGACCATGTTGAATGGGGCTAAAAAGTCAATAAGAACAACACTTCATGTCCTTCTGTTTAAATACTTGTATTTTTCTTGAGGTAGAATGGTTGTTCAGCAAACATGCCAGCAAAGAGGTGTTGTCAGTTTTAATTTCCATAATAAATTAAAGAGGAACTTTGCCTCCAGTCCATTGGATTGGGTAGAAATACTCCTGAGTTATAGTTTTTGACCAGAGTAGTGGATTCATAGTAGAAGAATCCAGCACTACAGGTGTGAAAACTAATTTTGCCTCTTGCATCTCATTTAAACTTCATCTTCTGCTGTGACCTATTTTCCTCACTGTGGAGGTTTGCCTTTGAGGAGAGATTTGCAGTGTATGTAGTTTTAATACATTCATCCCCTATGAACCCCTTTTGTTTGCTTTCTCTCCCCTTGTCTAGACATGCCCTGCTGCTAAATGTCATGGGCACACAACAGCTCTTACTGCTGGCCCGGCAGATGCAGAAGCTCGAGGCCTTTATCCACATCTCCACTGCCTATGCAAATTGTAATCGGAGAAATATAGATGAAGTCATCTACCCACCACCTGTTGAGACCAAGAAGCTCTGTGACTTAGTGGAGTAAGTAGAAACAAACACAGCTTTCCTTCCTGATGCTGGTGTGATGCGCCACCTCTGCAGAAAACCTATGACTGGATTGTTCATACACCTATGCTATAGAATGTTCCCCCAGACCAGTTATAGTTGCAGTGCCCTTCACATTTGCACCTCAGCTAACAGTGCTGGGAAATGGGTGTGTAAGAGAAGAAGGAGACAGAGGGAGGCGGTAACTTGGATTCCAAGTATCTTCAAGAGATCAACTTTCAAAACATTGATTGGAGGAATCATTCCTACATGCTTGTATCCAATAATGTTAGCATTTTTGGTCTTCCCCTTTTAACCTATTTTTATTCATATTTTCTGGAAATATTAGCAATATAGATATAACCTCTGAGTCTTTATTTGGAGGTCTTTTAAAGTCACATTAGATTGTCATTTGGATCGACCTTCCAACAGTATTTTGATTTCATTTTGAATAGGAAAGAATTAGCAAATAAAATGATCCATGTGTGTCAATCCTATTATTTCAGATGTTTTTCCAGTCTTTTTCTATAGTGACATGTGACTCTTTATGGTCCAGCATGGAGTCAGTTGATGGTGCTTGTTTGTGTTAGTGAGAATGACACAGTGCTTCTTCCTTTTCTAAGACCCAACACTCTTCTTCCCTCAATAGGAGCTGTAACTTTTCAGAAAGTGAGCGTGATTCACCACTGCATTACTCCTGTTGTCAGTCAGTGTGATTCCACTTATTTCAATGCAGTCCCAAGTAGTGTCAAACTGGAGTGAATCAGACTCACTGTTTTAGAAAGAGATTTAAAATGATGACACCTCATTGCAAGAATCCCAGCCCAGACTGCTGAGTTTAGTCCTTTCTAATGGTTCCTTTCCAGCTGCTTTCTCCCCATGTATGAGCTGTCCATCTGCAGGGCCAGGTTCATTCTGTATTGAAAACCACAGCTCAGCTGGAGAATTCACTAAATCTGCAGGACAGCAAAAGTGTTTATTTAACTGAGTTTGTTGACTAGATGGATAATTAGAAAGGAAAACAAAACCTGCTGACAGGGATTCCAGGGAAGCCTTCTCCTGAGAAGAACTAAACTTCCCCATGGCAGTTTGTTCTGCTTTCCTTTTTCTTTCCAAATAATTTTCCATTTGCATAATATCAACTTTAGCTCTGCCAGCCATTAGCTCAGAATGGAGGTGTGAGCCTTCTTGTCCTTTGGACTTGTTGAGATGGGCATAAGCAGTATCTGCTGGCTTTTTCTCTGAGGGAAGAATAGAAGTTGGGTTGGCTCTTGAATCCCATTTTGCCAAAATAAACGATTGCACTCTCTGAGTGCTAACCGGAAAATGTAATGTCAAATATTGTTCTGTCTTTGATTTTCCTCGAGCAGCCCAGAGTCTTGAATATAGTTCTCCCCAGCCAGCATATGGAGTCAAAATAACTTGAATGATATCAGGACCTCCTGCCTTCACTACTTACATATAAGGGGTTTGCCAGCTTGCAGAGTTCAGTTGTCTGTCACCGGCACGTGCTGGCTCAGAAAAAAGACTTGAGCAAAGGACAGAATGAGCCTCTGAAGCCGTCAGGGATTTCTGGCAATATGCCTCTACTGCAGCCTCCGGGTTGCACAGGCAAAGGAAGCAATGGTGAAAGCTTCAGAGAGTTAGGGGGTGAGGCGCTAGCTCTTATCTGCTCTGCTGTATGTTTGCCTCAGCAGTATATACAGCTGTCAACTCTTGGTCACCACAGTTTGGTTTTTTGTTTGTTTGCTTGCTTACTTGCTTACTTGCTTGCCTTACACTTTCTCATGGTTGCCTGAACTCTGGCAGCATTCTTGTGAATGTTGTCCTTGCCAGGGCCGGCTCCAGGCACCAGCCTGGCAAGCAGGTGCTTGGGGCGGCCGCTCCAGAGAGGGGCGGCACGTCCAGGTATTCAGCGGCAATTCAGCGGACGGTCCCTCACTCCCGCTCGGCGCGAAGGATCTCCCGCCGAATTGCCGCCGCAGATCGCGATCGCGGCTTTTTTGTTTGTTTCTTTGTTTGGGGTTTTTTTGGCTGCTTGGGGCGGCCCAAACCCTGGAGCCAGCCCTGGTCCTTGCTCAACAGGTTTACTATCTTCCGTTGCTTTCAGTGGGCTGGAAGCCACAGGCTGCCCTCAGTTAAGATGGCTGCCACTTCCCTGCAGCCTTTGCAGGTGGCATGAAGGCTGCCCATAGTGAAGAGGACCACTGTCTCCCATTGTTTTTAAAGGCACTGAAACTAGGGGGCACTCAGCAAAGATTGCCGGACTCTTGGTTTGGAAAGTGGTCTGGAAACTGTAACGGTGCACGAAGGAGACTTGTGGGTGGGGCTGTCAGGGGGAGGCTGCAGAAGAACATGGGGGAGTAGGAGGTAGAAAGTCAAGATCAGGGACTTGTGATGGGGAAAAGTAAGGAAAATACAAAGGCAGGTGGGGGACAGGAGACTAAGGGAGAATGTGAGGAGCAGAGAACTGGCTGGCGCAGGGAGGGAGACAAAGAATGGGTAGAAGGACGGAGGCAGAGGTGATGCTATCAGAATACTTCATTATTCTGTGTTCAGCTAACTAGGAGGAAGTATATCTAAGTGTGTGCACTAGTCCAGAAGGGCTCAAAGAAAGATAATGAATAGGTAAGGAAGTTTTCCCCTTAATCCCTTCCTCCACCCCACATATATCCAAATAATTACATGGATTGTGTCAGTGAAAAGGGAAAAGAAATAGCAAGTTATACTTTGGGCTAGCCAGCTGTGAAACCATCCCTTCGTATCTTCATCAAATGTCTATTTGAAAACTGATTTTAAAGCACTCAACTGAACAAGCATCTATATTTTTCTTTTTTTAAGTTTCATATATCTGTATGTCTGAGGCTGGCAATACATTATAATCCTGGCTGTTCACCTGCTGTTCGGGTTCATAGTAGCCAGTGCCAGCAGAAACTGGAACAGGACATTCAGATATACTCTTCTACAGTTGTAGGACGTTGGCTGTTATGATGTGTAACAGGGATTTTTAAGGCTAATGTGTAAAGAAGCTTCTTAGGCCTAATAGGAAAGCAGAATTTTTTTTACAAAGCTATTAAAAGGCATGACCCTGCAATCGCAGCTAAATAACAGATCCTTTAATGGTCCTCTTGATGACAAATTTAATTTGTATTTCTGATTATTTACTCAGCTAGAATCCTTGGTCAAGCTGTCTTTTTTGCATGTGTCCTCCTTCTATCTCCCTGATTTCAAATATGATGCTTCTTTAACTGTAACTGAAACTTTAAGATTGATCTGTGGAAACCAAAAGTCACACTTCTAAATACCACCAGGCCACTAGAGGAAATGTATAATCTGCTACATCAAGCAAGGTTTGCCTTAATCTAAAGCTGAGGGAAATCAGCTTTGGCGGGTGCGCTGAGGTAAGGAGCACAGCACAGTCTATACAGTGTGGACTAAAGTAGGGTGCACATTGTCCCTGATTATAATATTATGGGAAATGTAAAAGGAGGTCAGTTCTAATTTACATAAGGGAGCATCTTATTTGTGTTGTGTAAAATCTTAATACAGAAAGTCACATTTTCTCAGGGGAAAATGACATATCTGTTTGGTGGAGCAGGGGGACAGTGGACAACTAACCACAGCATTTTTCTTTGATTTCATAAGGCACCAACAGCATTGAGCAAAAGCAGTTACTATATGAATTAGACTTTCAAAACCTCGAATGTAGGTCACAGAAAATGTAGGGCAGCATAAGGCCTTGTTGAATTGTCAGCTCGGTGCTTCCATGATGGGAACACTGATTAATCATATCACGTGGGAGGTTGGTATTCTTGAGAGAGTCTGTAGCACAAACCTCTCAACTATCGCTCAGAGCGGCATGGAGGCTCACCCAAGACACTGGAGTCATGACAGGGCACTTTAGCTGAGCACTTTGAAAGTATATATTTAGGGCCATACCAAATTCACAGTCCATTTTGGTCAATTTCATGGTCATGGGATTTTAAAAATAATAAATTTCATGATTTCAGGTATTTAAATCTGAAATTTCATGGTGTTGTAATTGTAGGGGTCTGACCCAAAAAGGAGTTGTATGTGTTTGTGTGTGGGGAGGGACATCACAAGGTTTTGTAGGGGGGTTGCAGTATTGCTATCCTTACTTCTGCAATGCTGCTGGTGGTGGCGTTGCCTTCAGAGCTGAGTAGCTAGAGAGCAGTGGCTGCTGGCTGGGAGCCCAGCTCTGAAGGCAGAGCCACCGTCAGCAGCAGCACAGAAGGAAGGATGTCATGGTATGGGATTGCCACCTTTACTTCTGCGCTGCTGCCTGCAGAGCTGGGCCCTTAGCCAGCAGCCACCCAGCTCTGAAGGCAGCAGCGCAGAAGTGAGGGTGGCAATACTGCGACCCCCCTAAAATAACCTTGTGACCCCCCCCTGCAACTCCCTTTTGGGTCAGGACTCCCCCAATTTGAGAAACGCTGGTTTCCCCTGTGAAATCTGTATAGTATAGGGTAAAAGCACACAAAAGACCAGATTTCACAGGGGGAGACCAGATTTCACAGTCTGTGATGCGTTTTTCATGGCCATGAATTTGGTAGGACCCTAGATATATTAGATGGACAAGTTGCAACATCTGGTAAATCAGCATTACAATTGGCCCTGGTACCCTGATGGCTTATTCCCACGGTAGCTCAATTACACTGGGAAAGCAAAGGCAGTATTCTGACCATAGCTATGACTGTAGGCAGGGTTTCTGTTTAAAGTTGAATTTTGCATCATTTCTGAAATCCACATACATGGTCAGAACTGGAAGTGGACAGGAAACCGTTTCCTATCCCACAAGCGTTTTTGAGATTTCAACATTTTCTCCCATCCCGATTTAGGATGAAAAGTTGAAAATTTTCATGAACCAATAATCTGATCTGAAATTTTCCATGGGTCAGTTGAAATGTTCTGTTTTGATTTTGACCTTTTATAGAATTTCACCTTATTTAGTATAAATTAACTATACTTTCAAAATGAAGTCGTTTTGAACCAGAAAAGGAAACTTATTGTTTCAAAAATGTTGAAAAGTGTTGTTTTGACAATTTGAAAACTTTTTTTTCCCAATTGAGATTAATAAAACCAACCCTTTCCTGCAAACAGTTTTGGGTCTATTTGCAATTTGAAAAAAATAACATTTTGTCAGAAAATTCCTGACCGTCTCTAGTCAGACTTGGTTGAAAATCGCTGTGCTAGTTCAGGGACAGAATTTGTGGTGCAAATTTGAGCTTATTTGACTAAGTGGTTCTCAAGATATAGCACAGTGGTCACCAACTGGTCAGTCGTGATTGACTGTCGATTCTAGAGGATCTCCCAGTCGATTGCAATCTCTGGTGTAGTGTGGCTGCAGCTAAGGCAGACTCCCTGCCTCCCCGGTCCCATGCCGCTCCCAGAAGTGGCCAGTGCAGCCTCGTGGCCCTGGGAGGTGGGGGGAGGGTGGCATGGGTCTCCCTCTGTGCATTGCTCCTGCCTGCAAGCACCACCCCCGCACTTCCCATTGGCTGGGAGAGCTGCGGGGGCAGTGTTTGCAGAGAGGGGCAGCGTGTGGAGCCACACATGTCCCCCGCCCCTTCCCCAGGGGCTGCAAGGGCGCGTTGGCCCCTTCCAGGAGCAGTGTGGGGCCGGGGTAGACCCGGAACCTGCCTTAGCCTTGCTGTGCCTGCCGCCAACCGGGAGCCACCGGAGGTATGTGCTGTCCAGCAGGAGGTCCTGTACCCCCCAGCCCCCTGCCCCAGGCTCATCCCAGAGCCCCCTCCCACACTGTAAACTCCTCGGCCCCAGCCCAGAGCCCGGACTCCCTCCTGCCCCAGCCCGGTGAAAGTGAGTGAGGGTGGGGGAGAGCGATCGACGGGGGGGGGGGGGGGGAGATGGAGTGGGCGGGGCTTTCTGGAAGGGGTTGGGCCACGGGGAAGGGGCAGGGTAGATCCTGGGTTGTCCTTAGATTCAGAAAGTGATCTTGGGTGTAAAAAGATTGGAGACCACTGATATAGCACATGCACCCTTCCATTTTCTGCCCCAAGTGGCCTATTTTAAGATTTCAAGTCTTCTCACCTTATTTTATGTAGAGATGGGGAGAGAAGGAAGTGGTGGAGCATCACTGGAATGTCCCCAGTGAGCTCTCCTGTCCACCACAAAGAAAAAGCTCCAAAACTTAATAAAAGGTTATTGGACTTTATTTTTGGTTCTATGGAGTTATGCACCAGACTTCTGTGAACCCTATCTAGATTGCCAGCCCTGTCTGTAGATTTCAAAAACACAGCCAGCTCCCTTCCTCTCTGAACCAAAACACAGGCAGATGAGCAAAGTGTTGTCGGTTTGCCAGAGCACAGTTTGAACCCAGGGACTCCATTTTAACAGCACTGACCTCGACTCCAGGAGCCAAATTAGTAACTCCTTCATCTGGTATCAGTAATAGAAGGGAACACACAACACTTATTGAGCCAGCCACTGGCATTCATTAACCTCCATAAAAATATCTTTTGGCAGAGGGGAAAGCAAATATCATTCATCTCCTTTAACAGATGGAAAAATTGAAGACAACAGAGGTTCTACAAAGCCACCTCTGGTACAGCCAAGCTCTCTCAAATAGCAGGCTCAGCTTATCCACTGAGCCACACTTCCTCTCAGAAAAAATGGACCAAACCTTTGTGCTTGGCTAGAGCAGAACCAAACACATGATTTTTGTGGTGGTGGGAGCTGGTGGGGAGATTTGGAAAGGGATCCTGCATGCAACCACAGTGATGATGTCAGATATTTGCATAATAAATGCAATTGCAGTATCATTGAAGAAGATAATTGTGGCATTTTAAACTTTTGTAATGCTGCTAAACCCTTGGTGGAATTGAATTTTTCCAAGAGTTTGCATGCATAGCTGGGGACTGTGCTAGCTAATTCAGAAGGAACTATAGAGCCAGGTTATGAATGTCCAACGGGGTTTGTCTAGACCAGTAAAAATTGCATCACTAAACAATGCTGGTGCAGCACATCTGTACTAGGGGAGAAATCTTGGCTCCATTGTAGTAAATAACAAAACTCCCAGTTATTCCTTCTTTTGCCTAAAAGTATTCTAGTTGCTGACTTCCCCACTGCAGGTAAGAGTCTTGAAACTATAGACCGCTGAGTGTGCTGACCAATTTGCTTAACTTCTTCCTCGTTTCATTCATCTGTCTGTGTGGTTTATGTCAACAGAATTCTTTTCTTTGTCCCACTAGGTGGCTGGATGAATCTATCATTCAAGAGATCACACCCAAGCTGATTGGGGACTGGCCCAACACGTATACATACACCAAAGCCTTGGCAGAGTACCTGGTCCAGCAAGAGAAAGAGCACTTCAACGTTGCCATCATCAGGCCATCCATCGTGGGAGCCAGCTGGCATGAGCCTTTCCCAGTAAGCCTGATTACCCTCCTTCTTTTAACCATTTCCCACTGAGTGCTCTCCAGATACAGCTGAGGCTCCTGCTCTTCATCCAGCCTTTCGTCCGGGGGGCAACCCCTCATTACAAAGATGCCTGCTGATCATCTTAGAAGTGCACTCTGATTCTTCAGGGTCTCCAGGGAGGGCAGTGGGAGATGGAGCAGGCAGTGTCTGGTGCAGAACTGCAAGACTTGCTCAATGTCTCCAGGAAAGATTTACATTTGCAAGTTGGAAAAGGCAATTTAAAATAAAAAAAACAAATGAATTGGATTTACTGTTGGTGGAAAATGCTGGACTTGCAATACTGGAGACTGAAGTCCTATATCCAGAGAACTTCTACACACTGCCATGCCAACATACCTCAGCACTGAGCTGGGGGAACACTCCTAGGGCTCATAGGATAGGTCAGGCCCTCCATCCTGATCTTTATGCTAAGGCAGTCTGCTAGGCGTGCCAGGTAGGGCCATTTGTGAGGGTTTTTTGGATGAAATAACATGACTTTCAACAACTCACCAAGCTGAGATGCTCCAGATGCACATTTATGGGGAGTGTTGCAAATATTAGGAGTATCACACATGGAATAGAATGCAGCTACATTTATACATTGAAATAAATATTCTAGGCCAAATTTACTACTGGCATTAGCAGGTGCAACATGTGCTAGGCTTGCACCTGGGTCATAAAGGTGACATAGTTACCTTTGCCTCTTCCGTACCTGAGTGGCACCAGGCAAAGCTCAGACATCACCTAGGATCTGAGCCAAAATATCCATCTTGGAAGGACAGAGTGCGGCATAATAGTGCCATTGCAAGTCATTCCAAATATTATTGGTTCTAATTAACATTCCCACAAGATGTGACTTTCCTTACTGCAACAGAGTGCTGTTCAAGAGTCCTGATATTCTTTACTGTCTTTGAAAACATCAGGAAAAATCAAATAAATTACCTCCAATCTGATCATTACACAGATAGGCCACACTGATCATTATAAACCAGGGGTGATTGCATCAACACCAAGATTACATGGCATTTGGAAAGTCAGATCTGGTACACATAATCAAATTATCACCCTAATGTGGTGATTTTTAAAACAAAATTTGACTATATTTGACTATATTGTAAACTGCAGACAACACTGGCTGTTTACCATGCATCTTTTATTTAAAATCAATATGCTGTGCTATCTTTGCTCTCTGGCAGCTGTCCAAGCTAAATTGGCATCCTTTTTAACAGTGGTCTGATTAAGTGACTTCATCCATACCACAGCACTGTAACACTTTTTGAAGCCTGTATGAGCTAAACATTGTTGAAAGAAATAATAAAAAATGCCTTTCCTTTTTTGCAGGGTTGGATTGACAACTTCAATGGAGCAAGTGGAATGATTATTGCGGTATGTATAGTTACTACTTTGAAAAAATTCCTTTGCTCAAAACTTGTGTGCAGAAAATTCCATAGCATTTTGTCGATTCGAATAGAGACACATACCGCACATCTTTGTGGGCATATGCCTACAGCACCTGACAGTGTTGTCTGTTTATACTGCATCCAAAAAAACTACCTTAAAACAACATTAAGGTTGCATAGTCAAGTACTGAAAAGTTAGGAAATAAAAGAGTTAATGTTATCTGTACAAGCTTATTTTGTCCCCCTTCTTATGCATATGCATTATGATACAGTCTTTAATTACATGTTCACATATTAGATTTTCCACAGGATCCTGGCCTCCTACCAGCAGAAGGTGCATTGAGAGCATAGTCTTCATGCTTTCAGTTCTGGTACCTGGCACAACAGTGGCAGCTAATAGGGAGCATGTGCCGAGCTCTGTGGGGATACCTAATGCTCATCCTGGTCAGCATGTAGGATCTGTGTGGGTATGGAGCATGCTCATTGCAGATAGAATCTTGGGAGAATCTAGCTGCCAGCTTGTACCAAAGCTCTACTGAGCATGTGTGAACTGTGATTTTCAGAGGCTTATAAATTGGCCATATTTGGGCACATTTTCATGGGGCTCGCAAAAGGCACATCCCTGATAGTAGGCACAGTTGCCAACTTTCACGTGGTAAATAAGCATCCCAACTTTCACAATAAGCCAAAAATCAAGCTAATCACATTTCAAAACAAGGTCAAAACAAGCCAATCCTTAAGAACCCCAACACTGTGTGACTAGATCCCCCGGCGTGCAGTCTGGGACTGTGGTGCGGCCGCTATGCACCTCTCTCCCCACCTTGCCGCTGCTTTCCAGGAGCCGATCAAAAAAAAGAAGCAACAAGCTACAAGCCACAATCCAAAAACTAGCCAACAAGCAATTCACAAGCCAGTTAAGCCAAAAACAAGCCCAATTTCTGTGTTTTTTTTTTCCCCGTGGGTTTGGTATGTCTGCCACCTCCTGCCAAATGTCCAAGTCCTTGCTCCAAAGCATGGGGGCACTAGAGAGTCTCAATGAAATAGTGGTTAGAATTTTTTAACATGGGCAAAACAATGTATTTTTCCCTAGTCTTGTACTCAGAAATGACCAAATCATTTCTGCTGAAAGTTTCCAAGAAAATTCAGCCTGAGACAGACACCTGGCTTGGAAAACTTCAGTCTGAACAGTTCAAGTCTGGCAAAGTTATAAGCAACTGAAAACAGTGTCATAAAATAGAAACTTTAATTACACATGTCATTTCCAGGAACACCTATATGTGCTTCAGTTGGAAGCACTCAGTTCAAGGCAACAAAGTTGTGGGTTCAAGTCTCACACCAGGACTTAGGTTCATTTATTCCCATGAAAAAAGTGCAATGCTGTTCTTATACTATCATTTCTCATTATATGCATTTGTGTCATATACATCACGCAGTCTGTCAGGGTAATCTACTGGCGGGCCGCGAGACAGTTTGTTTATATTTGCACATTTGGAACAAAATCCAGGATAATGGAGAATAAAACCCTAGTATTCCTAAAGAATTGCCTTGAGGAAAGATGCAATAGATAAGTAAATCAGTAATAATAATGCATATGAAAAGCATATCCTTTTCCATGCCATTTCTCATTGGTTTGATTTTTGTTTTAAACCAAAACTACTACTACTACTACTCCCCCTTCCCATATGAACGGCCATACTGTGTCAAACTAATGGTCCATCTAGTCCAGTATCCCTGTCTTCTGACAGTGGCCAGTGCCAGATGCTTCAGAGGGAATGAACAGAACAGGACATTCTGAGTGATCCATTTATCCCCTGTCATCCAGTCCCAGCTTCTGGCAGTTGGAGATTTAGGGACCAGAGCATGGGGTTGCATCCCCAACCATCTTGACTAAAAGCCACTGATGGACCTATCCTCCATGAACTTATGTAATTGTTTTTAGCAGTTATACTTTTGGCACTCATAACATCCTGTGGTTGACTGTGCATTCTGTGAAGTGCTTCATTTTATTTGTTTTAAATCTGCTGCCTATTAATTTCATTGGGTGACCCCTAGATCTTGTGTTATGTGAAAGAGTAAATAACACTTTCTTATTCACTTTCTCTGTACCATTCATGCTTTTATAGACCTCTATCATAGCCCTCTTAGTCGTATCTTTTCTAAGATGAGCAGTCCTAGTCTTTTTAATCTCTCCACATATAGCAGCCGTTCCATACCCCTAATCATTTTTCTTGCCCTCTTCTGTATCTTTTCCAATTCTAACATACCTTTTTTGAGATGGGGCAACCAGAACTATATACAGCATTCAAGGTGCAGGCCTACCATGAATTTATATAGTGGCATTATGATATTTTCTGATTTATTATCTATCACTTTCCTAATGGTTCCTAGCATTCTTTTAGCTTTTTTGCCTGCCACTGCACCCTGAGCAGATATCTTTAGAGAACTATCCACAATGACTCCAATATCTCTTTCTTGAAAGGTAACAGCTAATTTAGACTCCATCACTTTGTATGTGTAGTTAGAATTTATTTTTCCAGTGTGCATTACTTTGCACTTATCAATATTGAATTTCATCTGCCTTTTTGTTGTCCCGTCACCCAGTTTAGTGAGATCCCTTTGTAACTCTTCTCAGTCAGCTTTGGACTTAACTATCGTGAGTAACTTTTTATCGTCTGCAAATTTTGCCATCTCACTTCTCACCCCCTTTTCCAAGTTATTTATGAATATGCTGTACAGCATAGGTCCCAGTACAGTTCCTTGGAGGACCCGGCTATTTACCTCTCTCCATTGTGAAAACTGGCCATTTATTCCTGACCTTTGTTTCCTATCTTTTAAACAGTTATTGATCCGTGAGAGGCCCTTCCCTCTTGTTCCATGCCTGCTTAGTTTGCTTAAGAGACTTTGGTGAGGGACCTCGTCAAAAGCTTTCTGAAAGTCCAAGTACACTATCTCCACTGGATCCCCCTTGTCCACATTTGTTGTTCCCCTCCTAAAATTCTAATAGATTGTCGAGGCATCATTTCCCTTTACAAAAGCTGGGTTGACTCTTCTCCCACAAACCATGTTCATCTCTGTGTCTGATGATTCTGTAACTTATAGTTTCAGCCAATTTCTCTGGTACTGAAGTTAGGCTTACCCGCCTATAATCGCCTCTGGAGTCTTTTTTAAAAATCAGCATTACATGGGCTACCGTCCAGTCATCTGGTACAGAGGCTGACTTCTGTATATTTTGTACCATGGTATTACCATGTCCGGTTGATTATTTTCATTCCACCAAGTTTCCCAGATATAAATATCCTCACTTAATGCCATCCATACTCATCCATACAATGTGCTACCCCAGGGACACATTCTAATGAATGGCAGTATACTGTATATTTTTGTTAATCTATATTTTATCCAGGTTGATTACACTATAAAACTGTGCTATTGTCAGTCTTGTGCAGTGTATAACAGGATTTGTGGTTTGTAATCATAGCAAAGAAGGATTATATTGAAATAGTATCTTAATAAAAACAGCTCATTTATACCTTAGGAAATGAAAGTTGTTATAATTACATGTGGAATACACCTTTCATGCTAGAGCAGGATTAGTAAATAGATATGTTCATGCTAATGCTTTCATCCAAGGCCTTTGTTATTCATTTCAGACCACATCCTCTGTATTCACAAAACTCCACTGGCTCTCCATTAATTTTAAGATCTAATTAAAATAATTGCATTCCAGCTGTGATATATTTGAATGTATCCAGCAGAGTGTTGGATCTGTTTATGCAAATGCACTTATAGTTTAAGCAGTTGCTTATGCTAAGTTTGTTGTTATATAGTGGTACTATGGGTTTTTTTCTCTCTCTCTTTGTAATACAGTCTGCCATCATGGTGGCTCCAACAGTGTGTACGTGCATGTGTTTCTATTCAGGGATTTGTGCTATATCTACCATACAGAACAACTGACTATGACAATTTCAAGAACCTTCCGTGCTTCAGAATAGTAAACAATTTACCACACTGCTTGCAGCCCCCAGGGTGGTGGGGGAGGGGGGGAGAGGAGTCTGCCACAACTGTGAGTACCCCAAACTACTAAACTAATAACAGTGAGGTGAAATGGCAGGCTATATTGGAACAATGGAGGACTTTTGACATGGAGGAATGGCCCATATCTACAGAGAGGCTGGAGCAGCATTTTGAAGTAAACAAGATTCCCTCAGAAAACATACCATTACTAAGAGTGCTGGTAGGAAAAACACACAGGGTAGTATGCAGTCTGATCATCCCAGAGAAGCCAGCAAGCAAAGCTTTTAAAGAGAGAATGCAAATTGTTCAGGAGCACTTGGCGCCCAAGCCCCTGATTATGGCTGAAAGGTTTGGGCATGGGCAGTGGGTAGAGGAGGCTGTGCCTCCCCAAACAGCCAGCCGTGGTCCCGCCCATACTCCGCCCCCCAGAGCCCCGTTTCGGTGGTGCCACTGGGCTCCAGGGGCTGGGGCCATGCCACCCACCTTCCTGGTGCTCCGCGGCTGGGGAGGCTGCAGCGGTGCCGTGCGCTCTCCCTCCCAGTGCTCTGGGGCTGCGGGTGGCTGCAGGCACTAGCCAGCCTGGGGCGGGGGCCAGCAGCCATGGGGGGGCCTCTGGGATCTGGGGGTGTGGAAGGGGCGTGGCCGGGCCTTGGGTGTAAGGTGCAGGGCTGTGGACTAGCCTCCCTCAGCCAGCAGTTCACGTGCAGCCCATGGCTTTGGGTTTCATAAGCAGAATCAACCTGAAGGTGAATCTATTTCCTCCTTTGGGACAGAGTTAAAAAAATTATCAAAACCCTGTCCTTTTAAGGATGGTCTTAATGAGGCCTTGAGAGACAGATTTGTGTGTGGACTACTTAATGGAAGCATACAAAAAACCAAGAGGGATCCCATGTGAGCTCAGGTTTATGAAGCCACTCTGAAGGGCTGAAAATATGCTAACAGCCCTAATTGGGCATGCTTTTACACATGGAA